ACATAACTACAAACAACAACTTAGCATCTCCAATGGGATTTAAAGGATTTATAGGCAGAAGTGGTTATTAAATATAATAACATTAAATAAGAACTTTGCCCTTCCTTCTTTGCTGCACTTGTTCATTTCACCAGTACATAATAATTTGTACTTATACAAATAAGATTTTTAACTTGTTGATTTTGTCTCCTTTTGTTTTGAAAAGTTGTCTCTATAATCCAAAAAGGATTTGAATCTCTTGACATTTATTCAAAGGTTCGTCTATTTTAAAGAGTTGCATTTTTGTAAACATTAGTTTTTAAATCGCCGCGTTTCTTGCTGGAAACCATGGATTGGTGAAAGCTGGGCTGCCAAGCTGGACACAAAACATTTCAATTATCGTATTTAATTAACAGCAACTACACCTCAAACTGGATTAACACAATTTGATCTGATTGTGTATTATAATACGTAAACATCTTAAATGTCTAAAGTATACTTATTCATAAAGTGTTTATTTCCCTTACACAGACTGATCACATCATTGTCTTTTAAATTCATAATCTGTCCTTTTTCTTTATCCCACTCAGGATAGAAATGCAGTACATCCAACACATGCCCAGCAAAATACCCACGTAAAATGTACACTTTAATCAAGGTCAAGGTTTCTTTATTGTTATTCTTTTACTGTATGTGGTGCACGTGGTGGAATGAAACTGTCTACACAGGGTCCCAGTTACATTCAACAAAATGTACCTGTATTACAAACTATGTATGTATGTGTAAAATTGTAGAAAAAACTAACAATCCAAGATATGAACTAAGAAAAACGCTAAACTAAGAATACACTAAGCACCAATAGTACAGAAACAATACACTGAGCAAGAGCAGCAAGAACATGAGTCTTATCTGAAAGAAACAGGAAAAGGTCCCATCTAAGGTCATTTCAGAATCACCAGCTAACTTCACATGAATGTTTTTGACCTGTGGAAGGAAAACCAGATTACTCACAATCCATGCAGACACAGAGCCGTGTTTGCTGATGCCCTCCTTCTTTCAGGCAACAGTATTATTGTCACTGTGACACTCTTCATTACAGATTTATTTTTTAGAGCTGCATAATTATCATAACTTCCAGGGAGCAAACAAATAAAAATAAAAAAAAGATCTACGCAAAATTTTGTTAGACAATATTTATTGAAGTTGGGCCGGCCATTTTCTGGAAATGTTCAAGCAGGTTGAGCCTAATATTAATATTTTATGTTAAAATCTACAACATGTATTAGGACAAAAACAATACATCCACAAGTTTACGCATTTATCTGAATAAAATAAGCAAAACAACGACAAACATGGTCTTTTTACAATAAATCACAAAAATAAGTACATCTTATTGCATATTTCCTGCAAAAACTCCTTCGCTAAATTTTAAACTAGCCGGTGTCTTCTTGTTTTTCTTTTTGGTCAGCCCCATTTCCAGCAGAGGCTTTGAATTGTTCTCCTGAAGATCTTTTGTTTTTCAAGCTGTTCTTCAGCTCCTCTCTGGTGTTTAAAACTGCAATCTGAAGAGCTGCAACCTCAGCAGAAAGCTCCATTACTGCAACAGGACAGACGACAGAGACGCACACAGAATGGTCAAGAGTGCATTTTATTAAGTGTATACAATAAAGGAATATTTTATCTTGCACACAAACATACAACCATTATCCTTGTAAAGTTCTAGTCACATAAATAACATAACACTTTGGCACATATGGAAAATATGCTTTTTGCTATAATGATGATTTCTTTAAAAAATGCTTGGACAGTAAAGTGATCTCTCCAGACCACTGTGAATTCTGGCAAACATATTTGTTAAATATTAATTATATCATTAGTAATATCTAGCATACACACACAAACAAAACTATGTTTCTATACACCAGTTACATTTAAGCAAAAATAGCTATGAAATAAGAAGTGACTTGAACATTTATCATCATACCTTGCTTGAAAGAGGACTGTGCTTGCTTCAGAGGCTGCGGTACTAAAATCCCAAACCATTTCAGAGGGTCCTGCTGAGGATTATGATCTCCTTTTCGTACCAGATTTTCGTCAAGAGCTCCCTCTCCATTCACTTTACCACTTGCCTTTTTTTCTGTAATGCTGCTCGTCTTTTTTCTTAGCCTGACACCTGCAAATAAAAAAATTAAAAAAAAACTTAAAATGGTTTTTAAAAACAATTTTTGAAGAGGTTCAATTTTATCGCCATCCATTTTTAGATGACGCGTCACCTTCTTCTTGAGGTCCAACATTCTCCACATTAGTGTTAGAGTCTTTACACTTTTGTGTAGATTGTTCTGTGCAAAATAGCACCTCGCCGCTGTCCAGTGTTCTGCAGCATACAAGAGTAAAATGTTTTCAGAAACTGTGATGCACATTTCACCGAGGAGCAGCATTTCTTCTATAATCCTCACCTTACATGAACACGAACCAGTGGCTCCATCTCATTAGCATACTGAAGTGCAGACACTTGTTTGTTTCCCATAGAAAATCGTGCCTTGGTCATGGAAAACCATCCCTAAATAGTTGAAAACAATAATAAAAAAAGCAAAATTTAAGCTGTAAAGTATAAAGTTACAGAGCTTTAGTGCTTGAAAAGACATCAAGCTTTAGCTATTTGCATTGCACTTTCAGAATTAGTTGTATCAAACTGTAAACGATGACAAATAAAGCTAGACCAGGCTATGTCCGAGTTTGACAATGACTAGGATGATGTTAGCCGACCTGCTCGATGAGAGAGTTGAGAGTGGTTCTTTTCTTCTCCAGTAACTCAAGCTGGTCCATAAAATGAAGCAGTTTATCGTCTAACAATAGGCAAGACTCATCTCCTTCTGATACATCCATGTTGGCTATTTTAAACCTGAGAAATTCACAGTTCTGACTCCGTTAGCTTGAACCAGAAACAATGTGTACAGCTTCCGTGTAGCGTCATGTGACGCCCAGAGTCACGTGACACATGTAACCATTACGTTCCAAATAGTTAGGAAAACAAGTCTATATTTTAATACGCAAGTAATTGCGTACGTTACTTCATGAGAACGGGTATTAGAAGCTGTGTAGGCGAGGGAGAGGACTTTACAAATGGATGACTTGCTAGTTATTTTCAATCAGGATTTTTTTTTGTATAGAACTAGCAGTAAACAAAACATGATATATATGTGAAATACATAGATGTACTACAATGTAAATTGTTACATTTAAAAAGAACTTTGAACAAAAGACAAGTTCCCATACCGGGAGTCGAACCCGGGCCGCCTGGGTGAAAACCAGGAATCCTAACCGCTAGACCATATGGGATCTACGCGAATATCACGACAAGGGATGTTTTTAATAATAAATCAACCGGAGATGTGGCGTAAATACATTATAAAACATCCAGTTGCAGTTTGAAGGACGCGCATGACTCTTTATGCTAAAACTTTTAAAACTAGTTTAAAGCTCAAGTTTTTTGCTCTTAGCATCCGTTTGTGAAGTATTAGCTAACTTTTTCAACCTATGTCGGAATTGCGTCAGGAGTGTCAATGAATTGTTCACGATGTAACTATTTTTATTTATCAAGCACACGACTTGTAATAATAATTGATTAATCCGTGTAAACGCATATCAACAATTTCAGTATGTTCTTTCTTTTTAAGGCTTTCTTTCTTCAATACATCCATATCCACCAGTAGCTCGCCGTGATCGTATAGTGGTTAGTACTCTGCGTTGTGGCCGCAGCAACCCCGGTTCGAATCCGGGTCACGGCAGGGAGAGATCCCTGACACGGCTTGTGTGGATTATTTTTTGTTTTTAATCTTAATTTTTTTTTTGTACTTTAATTTTCATATTTCTAACTGGGGGGTATGATACATCTTTTGTCACCAACACATAGTGCTACATAGTTTCCACTAACTTTTATACAGCTTTTATTACGCATGCAATTGTTGTTTTCGGATTGCTAGTAGTTTAGAGTAGAGCTTAAAGTTTAGCTTAGAAGGTCGATAAAAACCTGACGGATGTATTTTGAGGCGAGTCGAGTTTTCGATTTGGTTTCAGAATTCAGTGCTTTGCTCCTTCCGAAGTTAAAATGCTGATTAAAAAATCGTTCTTTTTTGTTTTCTTTTCTCGCAATGAAGAAACCATTATGCCTAAAATTGCACAATCGTCCATTTAAGACTTTGACCCACAGACGCTGCTATCCGCCTGTTCTGGTGAGTTGTAAAACGGGGGCGGGGTCAGTGTGAGTAGCGTGTGTTTATTGGTAGTTTACGAGGACAACGGCCATGATCCGAGACAAGCAGCCAATCAGCTGAGCCCATCTGACCGCGCGTAAGGGTACCTTTATGAATACCGACATTTCATTGGTTGTTGTAATCAAATGACCCGCCCCCGACTACGTAGCGTTCTGTGTTTGAGATTATCTGCACTCGTGTAGTGAACCAGTTGTGTATCATCTGCAAGTTGCCATTATTCGTCAAATCCTCTGAAGTTGCCACAAAAGAAGATCCGGTAAGTTCAATACACACTTGTTTTTTTGGTTTAATGATTGTCAGAGATCAAGAGTGAAGCGAAATACACGATAATTTGATGTAACTGGCAAATAAAGTGACTTATATGATCATTAGTCTGACATTATCATGTATCTTCAAACAGGCGATGGATGCTGCTTCAAACAGAGTTCGACATCCTTACTGGCCACGGGACCTTGTGATCCCCACCTATGTGGAAAATGACCGGTCTATGTCAGAGATTCTGGTTTTTCTGTTTTCTGTGTCTGGGGTGATTCTGCTTGTGACCTGGCTGATCACTGGGACTGTAGGCAGGCTGGGGACGTGGAGGCGTCTGGCTTTGTGCTGGTTTGCAGTTTGTGGTTTCATCCATTCTGTCCTTGAGGGCTGGTTTTTACTATATCACGATATTCTACCAGGAGACCAGAGCTTCCTGTCACAGCTGTGTGAGTACTAACTTGCTGAGAAAACTATAACTTGTGAAGATCATTTTGAGTCAATATGTTTTTTCTATCTCTTTCTCAGGGAAAGAGTACTCCAAGGGAGACAGCAGATATGTAATGTGGGTTTGTTTTCTGCTTTTACAAAGACAGATTTGAACTATGAAACAAAACTGTTGTTTTGTTATATGACTGTTTTTCTTCTTTTTAATTTAGAGCTGACAACTTTACTATTTGTATGGAGATGGTGACTGCTTGTCTTTGGGGACCGTTCAGCTTTTGGGCTGTATATTCTTTTTTAACTAAGAAGCCGTACAGATTTGTTCTGCAGCTCATCATTTCATTAGGTAAGAAGCTGGAATTACTAAAAAGTACAATATAAAGTCCTTAGTGTTTACCCTGAATATAATTGATTTTTCAGGGCAGCTGTATGGAGCAGTGCTTTACTTCTTCACAGAACACAGAGATGGCTATGCTCACACCGAGTTCGGACATCCAGTCTACTTCTGGTTCTACTACGTGTTCATGAACGTGCTGTGGGTCGTCATACCCCTGGCACTCGTTGTGGATTCATGGAGGCAGCTGTCAGCAGCTCAGACACACACAGACGGCTCAAAGGCAAAGAATAAAGTGAAGTGAACACAATGTGGGACTGAAGGGCACAACGTAACCAATACTTAAAAAGAAATGCAATTTTTTTATTTGATCATGTTGCTGGTATGTTTGTCATCAAACAAAAGTTGTTGTTTTTTTTTTGCTGCAGATGTTTTTCTGCATTAAAAATATAAATCACATTTCCTAATATTGTCTTTATTTATTGCGTCTATGTTCTATCAGAACATCTGTCTGTGCTTACGGTCTCATTTTATTTACTTCTCTAACATTATAAATGCTAAAACTACAATAAGATTATTTAAAAATTGTACTTGCTCAAAAACAGTATTTCATTCTATGTAATAAGTCTAATAAGTGCAATAATATGTCTAAGTACATTCTAATGCTTAAAATATAGCATTGAGCTGTTTTTCCATAGAGCCAATATATACATTTCCAAGTCTTTTTATAGGTGCATCTAAAAAAATGGAGTATTTTGAAACAAAAAGTTTTGTCAATCATTTCACAAAGTAAAACTCGTACATTACATAGATTCACTACACATAGAGTGACATGTGGAAAAAAGAGATTCCTAAAACGATCAGTTGAGGACTTCATATTTATTTCAAAGCTTTGGATAACAATCAATAATCAATCACAGAAGATCAATATGTTTACAAGTGCACACTAATCAAAAGCCTTCACCTGTCTGAGGCTCTGACCCAGCATGCTTTGCAGCTCAAAGTCTCTGGGACCTGCACAGAGAAAACTTGAGTAAGTGAAATGTAGACACATCTTTGCTTTTAATATGGGGCCTACAAATATCCATGTTTAGTGTTAATAATGCTTAATTATAATAATTCAATTGGCAGAAACACAAATCAAAAGGCTGCTTGCTCTCGTGGCAGTGTGCTTTTTCTGTCTCCCACTGCGGGGAGTTCTGCTAAACGGATGATATCAATGTGTGATCATCTTCGAGCCGGGTTAAACATCAACAAACAGATTTATTAGTCAAGGTTCTTTATTGTTATACGCATCACATGTGGTACATGAGGTGGAACGAAATTGTGTACACAGGGTCCCAGTTACATCCAACAAAAGTGTAAATTGTAAAAGAAAAACTACTAAAATCTAACATATGAACTAAGAAATACGCTAAACTACAAATACACTAAGCACTACTAGTACAAAAACAATACGCCGAACAGCAGCAACCACAGCAGCTATTACCTGGGGAGTATTGTTAACAATTGATGATTATTAAACTATTTGTAGTTAGTTTAAAAAATAGTTAACCACAAATAGGATGGATTAAGTGAATTAATTCATTTAGTAAACGACACAAAGGAGACATTCGACACATAGCCTACACATATTGTGCTCGCTTTCAACCCAACTGAGTTCTGCTCCGCCTCTTGGTTCTGCTCACAGCTGAGCAGGACGTGGACACTTCACCTGTGATTTATGAACTATTTGAAGAAGAACTGGTACTGGAACAGTTACAGCATCATGTCGGTCATTCAGGGAACATCAAAAACAGTCAACATTTCTTTTAATTTTTGAAAAGCGTAAAGATTTGGCAAGTCAGAGATGTCAGAATAATATTTATGTTAAATAGGCATAGTGTCTTTTTTTTTTTTTATTGTTTCACATTAGAATGTCACAACTTACATTGCAAGGAAATAATATAGAAATTTAATTTCTTTGAATTAAACGTTTGGGTTCATTTTATTGCATTTATGATTCAAAGCAGCAAAATAAACACATTTAAAAGGTAACAGATCGTTGTAATACTTGGTTTACTTGGCATCTGCAGCCAGTTTCTTCAGATCCGCTGTGGGACGGATCACTGTGGGGGATCCTTCCTGCCCACAGCCATAAGCATCAACTTTTTAATGCAACCAGGACAACATCTAATTTCCCTTTAGAATTAATAAAATATTTTTGAATTGAATTGATTTACAATAATGACATTAATTAGTTGAGTGTCCACCCAGTGGTGTAGTCTACGTGATACTCGGGTATACGAAGTATAACCACTAGAAAAGCTTGAGAATTTCAGTATACCCACTTAAAAGTGCCCAATGATACATGATATCATTAGACACGTGTCATTGATATGTTAAAAGGCAGTTAAATGCTTCTGTAACAATCTTATCAGTAAGCAGCGCTTTGCTTTGATACTGTTTTATAATTGATATAACATGTTTTTAATACAAGGCCAACTGCTGGACAAAGTTTGTTGTTAATTTATTCAAATATAAGCATCAGATAATTTTGAAATGTTCATGTCTAAAAATCAAAATAAATTGACGAGTACATTGTACTAACTTTGGTTTCTAAGCACAATATACCCACTACAGAAATGTAGACTACACCACCCTGAGCTGTTGACTTTCAGTAACTGTGGCCCCTTTTTCTCCTCAGCAGGTAAGACACTTCTGACTTGTCTGAGACAACTTGTCTCTGGTTCAGGAGTGGCTGGACTGGAGGAATGGGAGATTTGTAGCTCATGTCTAGGAGTTAATCAGCTGATCAGGGTGTGACACCAGGAGTTTAAAAATATTGAACCTCTTCACAATATTCGAAATTTCTGAGACATTGTATTTTGGTTTTTCATTATTTGTAAACCATGACCATCAAAATTACAATAAATCAAGGCTTGAAAATTGTTGATGATGTAATGAATCTATAGATAAGTTTCACTTTCTGAAAGGATTGACAAAAACAAATAACTTTTTTACGATGTTCAATTTTTTTAGATGCACCATTCTTGTTTATCAAAAACAAATGGAATAAACAGTAGTTTAATAAATATATTTCCATAATTCTCATTGCTTTGGCACCACTGAACGCATGATAATGATGATAAAAATTGATACTGAGGTTTGACACAGACCACAATATAATCATCTAATTATTATTTTTCCAACTTTGAATAAATATTTATTACTTTTATTAAATATTGTGCGGTTTCCTTCACACGCCGAAATAGCTCAGTTGGGAGAGCGTTAGACTGAAGATCTAAAGGTCCCTGGTTCGATCCCGGGTTTCGGCATTTTGCTGCGTCACAGAACCTGCAGGGTGACATCTAGTGGTCGGAGAAAATTCCCATTTTTTAAAAATAAAAATCTGACAGCGCTTTTGGTAGTCAACGATTTGTCATTTTACATCTCAGATTAAGTTTAACGCTCCAAACTGAATGTTTCATTTGTTATTTTTAGAACTTCCATTTAGACAACTCACACACAGCTGTTTTTGTTATTGAAGACTTTACTTTGAAAATAAGGCAATGTTTCTAATGCACTTGGAAGAAATAATATAAAAACACAAAAAAACATTTATTTCTAATACCATTACTATTCTATCTTCAGGTAAACATTTTGCTAAGTCTTTGCCCCAGCTGTGCATTTCTCTGTTTCTCTTTATGAATGACATCTTTAAGTGCCTTCACAGCAGCAGGCAGGTCTGGTTGGAGCTCCAGCAGTTTTCTAAAGGCTTGTTTGGCCTCTTCCAGCTCATTCAGCATCTGGCACGCCTGGCCCAGTCGGTACCATGCCTTAGAGGCACCGGGCTCCAGCTGGGTGGCTTTAGCAGCATTGGCCCTCGCCCGTTCTGGCTGGTTCAGCTTCAGCTGGCACAGCGACAGGTTAGAGTGAAGCCCGGCTTTGATAACTTTAAGTTCGTCGCGTGAAGGAAGCTGTAGTGTTTCATCTGAGGAGCTTGTGTCACTGTCCTCTCCAGCATCCAGCTCTTGTGCTTTGGGCTCCTTTGTTCCAACAAGGCCACAAAGAGGGATGAGGAGTTTGAGGGCTCGGCTGTAGCTGTCGGCAGCTCCCCACACATCCCCGCTCCTGAATCTCACTCCGCCTCTTTCTTTGTGGGACTTCACCCATTCCATTTTTTCATCTGCAGACATTTGCCAGGACTCCTTTCCGGGCGTGAAAGCTTGCAGTTCAACGGTGGCACATAAAGGAAGGTTTCCATCGTGAGGTTGGTAAACAGAGGCCTCTGGTCCATGTCCAAGCGGAGTGAGTTGTATCTGAGGGGGAAAAAGAAAATGATTAAACTTGACTGCATCAACAAGTGTATTTGTGTCAAAAAGGGTGTAGTTTAAGTTCACCCAAGTACCCTTAAGCTGTTGTTTTTTAAATAAGTTAAAAAAAAAAAAATTAAAATACAACACTGAAAACATCGTTATTTTAAATATTATTCTATGGCATTAAAAAAAAAAAGAAAAAAAGAATATCTTTCCCCCCCCAAAAACCATTTTTTTATTTAGTTCAGAACATAAATCAAAATGAAGTTGACTAATTCATTGTTGAATCACACCCAAGTCTCACCTCACATTTCTCCCCTGCCCTCATCCCCTCCAAACACGCCTCTGTGACGTCGCACTGGCCCTCCCCCAGCCTCAGCGTCATCCAGTCACCCACTGGGATCTGCAGGATGGAGTCCTGACACCGCGGGAACGGCGTGATCGCCCACTCTGCAACATCGCCCAACGCCAACTTGTCATTTGTGTTTTCAGATAAGGAGCCATCCGAGTCGTCCGCTTGGACCTGAAGCTGCACTCGGACACGACAGAGTGAGCCCAAGCCTGGACAGCTTTTAGATAAAGAGGCTAAAAGAAACAAAGAGACATAAAATCAGATTTGTTCTAGTCTTTAAGAAGGTAGTGGATGTAACGTGTGCAGCATCATACATGTAACGTCTCCGGTACTGGAAGCAGTTTGCTGACTCCACATGTGTTTCTGTTGGACCCTCCAGAGGCCGTTGGGACACACTGACACCCATGAGGAGACATCAGCGTCACCACCATCACAGTGTTGAGTTTCAACAGGTTCCATTACTGGGTTCATAAAGAAAGATTCAGACACGAAAGACAGACGATTAAATGTTTGTTCAACTATCACACAGCACATGACAATGTCAACATTTTAGAAAGTAATGATAATAAAACAAATGGAGCAGCTGATTTGTTTGAAATAATGCAATATTATCTTTAATTACTGCTAAAACACTTGTTTAGTTGCTAAAGTCTTTAAGGGCCTTGCTCAAAGGTCCACAGTGGGACAAATGAGGATGGAGCCAGATGTAGGTGATTTAACTTTTCCACCCTAATATTTTAATTATGGCAAATCAAAAGTCACAGCTTGCCTTTGGTAAAAACTTTATATTGAAAGGAAATAAATGTATCTGGCTTTATGAGACAATTTATCAAATTGACCTAATTTTTGATTACATTATTAATTATCTATACGTTTTTGTTTATATTAATTTTTCACCAATCAATGTACAAAAGCCTCACACATTGCATAGATCAATGTTTATAGTGCAACATGCTTTTTTTAATGTTTAGGTTGCAGACCCATGTGTTAGACTAACAACTGTTTGATTATCCATATCTTTTTAATTAATATGACTTTATTAAGAGAAATAGTATTTGATGTAAAATGATCACACAGACATCAAGCTAACAATAAACAATAAGTTACCGTAAAGTCTCTTTGTTTGTTAAGTGCCACCTTCATCATATTCATTATTTTGACCGTCCATTAGTAAAAACATTCGTGTTATATTATTTTTATTTGGTATTTCGTGGCACAAACGTCGCAGCAACCAAAAAAACACAGCGTTAGGCGGCATCAGACAGCTCTCAGGTCCTAATTACAGCCGGATGAATTTATTTAATCTGAATTATTAAAAACACTGAGCTCACCTCGCACACAGATATCAGTTCCTCTTCAAGAAGGAATAAATACATTAGGCGTGGACACAACAAATGGAAGCTTTTTCTTCTTCTCCTCCTCCCGTTGTGTTTTCTTTGTGTTAAACATTGGCGGTCAGCTGCTCTGTGGTTGGAGCTCCATGCTGCCCCCTGCAGTACAGGAGGCTCACAACAATAACGACGCGATAAACCTGGAGCGGTGCTGCTCACTTGTTAATGATTTTAGTGTGCGTGCGTGCATATGCAAGATAGAAAGTGAGAGAGACTGAGATAGTTAGATAAATAGAGAAATGCATATGAGTAATGCCAAGAAGGTATGTTCCTTTAGGTCCAAAAAGCAGGATAGTTTAATTTTAATTGTATTAACTCAGAATAACTAGTGATTTTTGCGCAGGTGGTTCAGTGGGATTCTGACTCCTGACCCCAGTCATTACAAACAAATCCCATTGTAACCACTTCTTTATTTCTTTTTTTAATTATATTATTAAGTACCAACAAAGAAAGCTACCATGTTTGTAGACTAATAAATGTATTTTTGTGCTTTTGATAAATACCATAAATTACAATAATAATTGATATTGCTACAGAAATTCAGTTTACTCACTGGTTTAAAAATGTAAACGCAGTTCTCTTAAATTTAAAAATGGTTTTACCCACCAACTGGACCAATACATTTCACCAGAGACTGTTTTTAAAATATCACAATCATCAAACTAACTTATGTGAAGTTATTGGTTCTCATTTATCCCTATAGTGACAGGCCACATGTAAAATGTATTCATTTCATTTTCAGACAAAAGCTAAATTCAATATTGCCTCTTTCAAAAAAAAGTAAGCATTTCCAGTAATGGTTTGTCATTTCTTAGAAAATAAATTAATTTACAATAAAGAAAGTGTGACAGGTATAAGCAATAAGGGCCGCCAGAAAACTGAAATAGGCTTATATTTAAAGTTAAAAAGTCTTGATGATTTTACAGGTCTTTAATGAAAATGAGTCCTCGTGACTCAACGACACTAACCTGTATAAATAAAGGTTGCATGATGTGTTTCAGTAATTTGGTTCTTTCTTGCATTCAGCAGGGGTCAGTCTTTCCCCAGTAATGGACTGCATAGTTAGTAACAGATTAAAAACGAAAATACATAAATAAAAAACTTTGCACATAACTTGTTTATTTGTATGCACAGAAAAGCAGAAAAGAGGTTCAATTTAGTTAATGTTTCTAATTCTGGACTGCAGTTTGGTGTGATTTTAGCTGAGAATCATTCACAACACATACAACAAAGTGTAAGCATTGCGTGAGATCTTTGCTTTAAACATTTGCACTGTTGCAGTCAACTCTGTCTGTTAGCAAAATATCTCATGAATCACTGGGTGGGTTTTAGTGAAACTTCAGAAGATTTTCATCGGATAGACATCAACAACTGATTAATGTTTGGAGTCAGTTAAATCCAAGATGGATCCACGTTAGTCAGTAAAAAAAACCCTGCTCTGTCTGAGTCAGTCTGAGATTTTGAGGTAAATTTAAAGTGGTTGTGGAGGCTGAGAGTCCATCACGACACACACTCTGAGCGCGACATCTCACAATATCACATTAAACAAACTGTTTTTAAAGGCTTTACCAAAACATTGTCATTTTTCAAATTCTTAATGATTATATATCAGAATCTTTGATAGTATAAATATAAGAATGTAACACATTAAGAGTTAAGTAATCCAAACAAAATGACAAATTAAAGAGCGTGTCTGTGTTCAGCATCTCTTTCTCTAAGCTTCTTTCAATCCGTCACATTAAACAGAACTCTTTTCTAACCCCTTTTCCTCAGCTTCTCCAGCCCACCAACCCCTTTAGCCCCCTCAGCTTCCTCATGGATCCCAAATCCTTCCCAGCTGGCCTGATGTTTAACCTCCCGGTGGGTTCAGATGTATCTCAGAGCCTGCGGAGCGCTCGATGTTCGCCAGGAGGCCGCTGCAACCTGCCAGATGCAACATCCACTGCCAGGGCTTGAAACTGCTAGGTGGGTCGGTGCAACCTCCTGCTAGTTTCTCTGAGATTCAACATACGTCATTAAAAGGTGGAAGAAAGGAACAGATTAAAGAGATAAACATGTTAAACCTTAAGCGTGTCTAACAATGGCACATGACAAAACATTTATCCCCCGCTGTGGAATGCTTCACTTGTTGCTGTTGCTAAACGTACACATTTTGTGTTTTAGACAATTTAACTGCTAGTTTGACTTCATCTGTGCTGTATGATGAGACCTTGCCATGTGAAGAGCCAAATTTACTCTATGTGCTTCCTTCTCTTGTCGTTAGCAAATGGGAGACTCCTGCACAAGGCTACAAGAAGTGTGGGTGTAAAGGGTGCTGCAGCACACTCTGATGGGTGCCAGAGGACATGCATGTCCAAACTTAGTTCAAGAATCACTGACAAAACTAAAACAGATTTTATTCATGCTGCATATGAATAATTCTAACAGTATTTTACTATTCACTTTAGTTTTTAGTTTTTAATGTGGGGTGGTGCAGAGGCTAGAGAAGGCTGGTGATCAGAAGGTCATTGGTTCAACTCCCCGGACTGGCAACATAAAAATGTGGGTGGGAAAGGTGAAGCACCCACACCAGTCTCCACCCTCATTTGCTCTTGAGCAAGGCACTTAACTCCCATCATTTGGTCCCCCAGGTGCCCTAGTTGGCAGCTCTCTGCCTCACACAGAGGGCTGTGGTAGCTCGGTGGGCGCATCAGGAAGAGCATCTGACATAAAAACCACCGTCAAGTCTTTGTGAGAGTTAGTTCGCTGTGGCGACCCCTGAAGAAGAACAAAAACATGCATGTTAGGATTGGTAACTCTAAATTGTTCCTATGAGTGAGAGAGTGAATGGTCGTTTGTCTCTTTTGTCTCTATGTGTCCCTGTGATGGACTGGAGACCTGTCCAGGGTGTCCCCCGCCTCTCACACAGTGATGGCTGGATATGAGCACCAGTGACCCCTGCAACCCAAAAAGTTAGAAGCAGATAAAGATAATGGATGGATGGATTATCATTAAGTGATAAATGTGGTTCTGCTTAACACATCGTATTATGTTCCATTATTATTGTTTAGCGTATATCTTAGATTTTCGTATACCATTTCTCTTTTTTCCATTTGATATTTTTGCTACTTTTGGGTGTAACTGGGACACTGAGTACACGATTTTGTTGCACCTCATGTATCACGTGTGATGCGAATGACAATAAAGAACTTGAACCTTCTAAAAGCATCTGATCATAGAAGTGTACATGCTGAATGTTTAAAATCAACTTTAACAAATTTTTACAAAGTAAAATTATAAGAACTCTTATTGTCAGTGTGTATTTTATTGCTTTTATTTGGTACTTTTATATCACAGTTTAGGGTCATGTGGATTGTTTCTCAGCACCCTCAAACATGTTCTAAAAGATGTACTGAAATTAAACAAGATTATTGAGATTTTAAATGTTCTGCCTGCCAGAAAGAAAAAAAAATAGTTGAGGTTTTTAAGCTTCTGAGGGGATCAAGGTTGATCTTAAAGTTGGTCAGAGCTACTAAGACAAAGCTATGTTCCTATAATAAATGTGCACAAACACACACACAAAAAAACTCTAACACTGTCAAAGAAGTGCTGCCTTTACAAGGAAAAAAAATCAAAATAAAACTGTAATTCAGTCTGAATGAGTTGCTATATAAATAAAATATGACTATTTTCTCCTATGAAGAGCCTGCACAGAGTTAAGGTCATTCATCTGCATTAACGCGTCATAATGAGATGATGGGGAAATGCCAGACTCCCAGTTTAACTCCCCGGGTGACAAGACATCCGAGTGGTGCATCTTTGTGTGGCAGATGGAGTGTCAACATACCCAGACGATGCACACTTCACTTCTCGTGAAGATGTTATGTTTTGACAGCAGTGACATGATAACCATCTGCTGCAATCAAAATGTAAAAATCACTCGTGTTCTTTGGCTGCAGACAAAAGTGCTTTCACTGACCTGCACTTCTAATAAAGTTGACTCTTCTGAAATCATCTCAAAAGCACAACTTTTAGATTGCTGGAGGAATTGTTGCCTTTGTGCCCATCTTTGATATAAAGTAACCAAAA